TCTAGAAACTTCGGGGATAGTTGAAATCCACCAACGTAAATGAAGGAGGAATTTCTGTTTATGCCAAGCAAATATAACTCTCCGGTTCTCGGTTCAGAGAGCGAGGTAGGGGTAACAGTGCAAAATATTTCGTTTTTTCAACGCATTACGATGGCGGATGTGCTGCCGATAGAAATTTGTTAGATTCATTTTGACCCAGGCTGCCGAAGGGCATGAATAAAGGCATTTTATGAGCAGAGGACTGGAGTGTTTGGCCGAAAAGGCAACAGTTTGCGCTTTCCATAGAAACAAAGTAGAGGCTATTTCGTAAGTCAAGCGACTGGAAAATGAAATTCGAATGCGGACTTAGGTTCATTTGATTCAGAGGAGAAGTAATACAATTTAGCAGAACACGAAAGTAAAACTTCAATATGATGCAGCTGCCGACTATAAAAGTATTGCTTCCAACCAGGCGACAAATATATTTCATCTGTGTCACCACACCTACTGACATTTCACTCATTGCACTTTTTGTTTGTCTTGATCAATCTAAATGAAGAAGAAGGACATTTATAGACGGCGGAAAACAGTGGACGTAAACTATGGAAAATATGCAGCGGACGGCATTGAAAACAACAAAAAGCACCGGTAACACAACACGGAGTAAAGGGGATCGGATGATGAGAAAAAACGTAAATTGGGAATAACAGCGTAGGAAACTAAAGATAAAGAGCAACTTAAGTGGAAAAAATTGAGTTAATGGTTTAGACACCAACAACCATGCCGAAGAAAGAATACAGTAGATGTGTTATCTCATGAAATGTTAACCGAGATTCTGAAGTGCGTTTTCAATTCCGAATACCTTTCGGACCCGATGTGCCGTTAGGCTTGCTTTTTTCAAATAAGAAAAATTGTGCATTTCTGTAGGTTTTTATAAAGAAGACATATAGGGCTGCTCAGATTTGGTAATGGATATGGACCAGGTTGTTCACTCTATAAACAGCCTTAATAAATCTGTTGGTGTAGTGCCGTACCACTAGACATTTCGTGGCCTTAAAAATCCCATGATAAGAAAATTTTTCACAATTGAACGAAACTCTTTCTTTAAGTAAAAAATTTAAAGACGACTTCGCTACCAAATGAGCAAAAACTAGAATGTTTTCATGCATGTTTTCAGTAAAAAAATATTTGGATATTTTAAAAGCCCCAAAAATCAATCGGAAAAATGCATGCTGATTGAGTAGTCTTTCTTACGGAATGCGGTTTGCGCAGGCGGTCGTTAAGGAGCTCGTTCGGGAACGAGCATCCTTACGTGGCTGGAATATTTTAATATTATCCGGCATGATAATTTACACGACAACCCTACTTAAGTACTCTCTCCCAACTGGAAACTTATTTCAGAATTTAAGTCAACGTTTCATGAGCTGGCACATTTATCGTATTTGCAGGCATCCAAAATGAGGAAGAAAGGAAGTCTGCCGTTGTTTCTCTTACTATTCGTTTTCTGCTGTTACTATCTTTTGTTTTTTCGGCACATTTTTACTGGCTACGTCCTCTTCATCTACAGATGAAACGTTGCGTAGCCCCTAATTTGACCTTCGTTCCTCACTTTCGCCTTTAAGGTACTCCCAACATATTCCTTGTGCTCGTATTACGGGTAATTAAAATTGAAGTATTTGTCTATTGTCATTGAGGACTCCACTGAATGCGCAAAATTGTGTCTTGCAGTAAAACAAATTCAAGATGGCGGGCAGACAGGCAATCATATCATTCATCTGGGCGATTTTAGCTTAACAAACCTTGTAACAATAGGTTCAGCAGCGTGTACAAGTGATGTAATTATGATATACCTTGGTAGATGGCCAAAGATCACACAATCATGCACTTCTGGGTAATCAGAATCTCCATCTGGTCGGCAAATCTTCATCTTCAGTCCATGAACCCTCCCACTCCGAGGACATGATCATCGCATCCGTTAAGCAAGTTGCCTATGGTCAACTTTGCCGTCTACTTTAAAAGAACACCGTTTCTGTTCTAAGGGAAAGCAAATATGACATGAAGTTGTGGTGAAAAAATAAGCTTTAATTTGAAATTATTTTTGCGTCCTCTCTTTTCACTACTTTTGAACTTCCATATTTAACTTAAGTCACGATTTTCGATCATATAGAACGAACCAAAGCTTCACGAAATATCGTTGCTTTTTTCTCTACGTCTAGGAGTGGTAGGATATTTACAATATACAGTGGTGCACCTTACGCGTCCACAAGATGGCCTGAGTATCCACGGTTTTCAGGCAACGTATGTACATAGGAAACCCACGGTATGATAACTAAAGTATCGCGTGAGTTTCAGGGACTCCTGCCACCTAATCGTAAAGGGGCATTTCAAGTCTTCCTTTTTTCCTTTATCTCACTGATATGAGTCACATCGGCATGTTAATTGGAAAACCTCGGTAGCCCAAACAGTGCTCTTCCGCATCTATGTAAATAGTGACCTCAAATCTGTCCTAATAATTGATGATATGGCCCTTCATCAGATCAAGTCTGCAAACAATACCCCGGGTGGTAGACGTCAAGTATTGCAAGAGAACTCAAAATTGGTGGAGGACCGATGGTTATCTTATCTATCTTTCTCATCTGCTATAACTGCATGCACATGGTTTAGAAACAAACCTATTTTTATCTCATATTTGGACTAGCTGGCACGTTATAAACTCAAAAGCAGGTTTTCCCGGTTACCATCCTCTTCCTTGAATCCTAGCAGAGCAGGACCATAGTCTTGCTTTCATTTAATAGATGAGTTAATTGGAACACGTTGGTTGTCTCATGTCTAAACAGGACGCTATTTTTGACAGAGGCTTGCAGGGAGGACAACTGATGTTAGTAATATTTTCAGTGACTAGGTATACACTCACAAAAGACGCTGGTGTCCCTCCAACACAGAGGAAAGTGTTCAATATTTTTAAGTGACATGCTTTCAACCACTGCTTTACGCGGTGAAGTTTGAACACCTTAAGCTCCATCCTATATACGGACGGTCTCCGAGATGGCATGTCCAAACCGTGAGCAGCAAAAGACTTTGAGTAGTCTTATATATTATTTCTTGCGCCTCCTTGACTGAGAATCGAGGTGTGTCCAATTTTTTGAGAATTCACCTATAGCTCCCTATTCAGCCTCGCCCATGCAGCGTCCTGATTTTCATTTGGCAGAAAACAACACTTAGGCAAATGGAACTTTACTCATGTCATCGTTTACCTTAGTGAGTTCTTAACGTGTGCAATTACGACAGTTACGTCTAGACTCAAAATGCACATTGGGGAATTTGATTAGTTGACAACTTCATTGGAAGGTTGCATTTCTACGACATATCTGGAGGGTGTATTTTTATTATTTGCCTGTACTGCATCTTTGAATATCGGGTCTGGTTCCTCGTTGGGAGCTCATCTCGGTCTATAAATACTTCGTCATACAGTGAGTAAGTTTCTATTAGGCCTGTCAACGATCTTGTTCCCAGCTTAGCAATGTTGACATCGCTGCACTCAGTAAGAACCGGTTTTTCGAATAAGATCAACTGGAGGAGGTATGTGCCGACCACACCTTCTCCTGGAGCGGTCGCCCCAGGGCAAAGCGACGGGACGCGGTCGTCACCTTTAACATCCGGGACGACATCGTGGGACGACTGCCCTGTCTGCTGCAGGGTATCAATGATCACCTGATGAGCTTCCACCTGCCTCTCCAGGGAGGCAAATTCGCCACCATCGTCAGTGTCTACGCTCCTCAGATGACGGGGTTGGAGTTGCATACAGCCCAGAGGCAACCATGAGGCGTCAGGTAATGAAACCGAAAGACCTGCTGCCACGGCTAGAAACGTATGGAGTCGTTTCTCGGATCTGGTGCAGTTGCGGACAAAGCAACTACGTCGGAGAAACCGGGAGACAGCTCCGAAAGAGAATGGCCGAGGACGCTGCAGCGTTGCGGATAAATGACGCCAGCGCTCAAGTTGCGGCTCAGTCGACGAGATTCGGCCACACATCCAAATTCGCCGAGAACGAAATTCTCGCAAGAGGTGACAACCGCGTAAGCCGGGAGCTACTTGAATCATGGTCTACTGGCTCCTAGTCCATTAACAAGGGCAATACCTTCCCCCTTCCATACTCGGTGCCGAGACTTCGCGTAGGCGGAGTAATTAGCCACGCGGGGAGCGCGCGTGTGAACACTTTTCCCAGCTCCAGGGTCGATGGATCAGATGGTTGAGCAATCATCACACCAACACCCAACGCACGTGATGAAATTGCAGCAATTAACGACGCGAATGTCGGCCATTAAACAATTAGCACACCAAGTGCAACGATCCCTGATGAAGAGGGGAGTCTTGAATATTTATATGTATGCGGTAGCATGGCGACTGCATCCTATAAATATTGCAGCCCCTTGTGTATGAACCAACTGTATCCGATTTTGTCTCTGATGATGGGTTCGAGCAGGAATCCGAAACGTCAGGCCAATAAAGCTCTTGTCCCAGCTATCGTGTCTCCTTCTTCACGAATACTTACTTGGACTCGTCTCTTCGCTTCTATTGACAAATTAGCCCCCATTTTCACCATCTTTACTCCCCCAATGACCAGCCCTGGCGCTGCAAGGGACAAATTCCATAAGGACCTGCATGCTTTCCTGGCGTCGGCGCCGAAGGCGGATAAGTTGATTGTCCTTGGTGATTTCAACGCCCGCGTCGGCAAAGACCATGCCTTCTAGAGAGGAGTGGTGGGTCACGATGGTCTCGGCGACCTCAATGACAATGGCTTGCTCTTCCTACGAACCTGCGAAGAACAGCGGCTCATCCTGACCGACACCTATTTCCGCCTCCCGATGCGAGAGCAGGCCACCTGGATGCACCCTCGGTCGCAACACTGACACCTGCTGGACTATATCCTCGTCCACAGTCAAGACAAGCGGGACTTGCTGGTGATAAAGGCGATTCCAGGTGCTAACGGGTGGACCGATCATCATGTCGTCATCTTCAAGATGCAAATTCGCCTACAGCATCGCAGGAGATCTCAAGGTAAGCGACCCCCAGGTAAGCTGAATATTGCTTTGTTGTCTTTGCCTGTCCACCGTCTTCATTTCAACAATGAACTAGCTCAATGTCTAGCCAGTCTTCCAGTCGCCGCCGCCGCTGTTGACGAGAACGCCTCCACGGAGAACCGATGGTATCAACTGCGGTACACAGTCCGGTCGACGGCGCTGGCCGTCCTCGGTTACGCACGACGTCAACACGAGGACTGGTTCGATGACAACGACGCCGCTTTCAGGAACCTGTTCGCCGAGAAGAACCGCCTGCACAAAGCCTACGGCACCCGCCCCACCGACGAAATTGAAGCAGCCATCTACCGTAGTCACCGTCTTGCACACCAGCAGCTGCGAGAGATGCAGGGCGCCTGGAGGGCTCGAAAGGCCGAGGAGATCCAAGGTTACGCGGACCGCAACAAACGGAAGAATTTCTTATCCGCGATTAAGGCTGTCTACTGTCCGCCAAGGAAAAAACTGATCCTCTTATCAGCGCCGACGGTAGCACTCTATTCACTGAGAAGACAAAAATTCTTCAAAGATGAGCCAAGCACCTCAGATGCGTCCTCAACCGTCCCTCCACCATCTCTGACGTCGCCATCGCCCGTCTGTATCAAGTGAAAACCAACGCCGAACTCGGCCTCCCACCCTCTATCTACAAAACCATCAGTGCCGTGCAGCAGCTCTCCAGTAGAAAAGCGCTCGGATCCACAAACACGGTGGTTACCAACTCATAAGTCATCTGACGGCGCTCTTCCAGAAGATTTGGCATAAATCGTGCAACATTATAAGCGGAAAGGCAACCGCCAGCTCTGTGACTGCCATCGTGGCATCTCCTTGCTGAACATCGCCGGGAAGGTCTTCGCTCGAATCCTTCTGAACCGCCTGAACTACCATCTGGAAGAAGGTCACTTGCCAGAAAGCCAGTGCGGCTTCGCCGTCATCGTGGGACGACCGACATTATCTTCGCTGCCCACCAAATGCATGAGAAGTGTCAGGAGATTAGAACCCACCTATACTCCACCTTCGTGAATCTGACAAAAGCCTTCGACACGCTGAACCGCGAAGGACTATGGAACATCATGCAGAAACTCGGCTGTCCCGAGCGATTCATCCAGATGGTGTGTCAGCTCCACTATGGCATGATGGCGCGAGTCACGGACAATGGAGCGGTTTCAGAGGCATTCGCAGTGACCAACGGAATGAAACTGGGCTGCGTCCTCTCGCCCATTCTCTTCCGTCTTATGTTCTCTGTCATGCTGATGGACGCCTACCGTGACGAACGCCCTGGGATATGCATCGCCTACAAGATGGACGGCCAACTCCTCAAGCACTGGCGGATGCACTTCCAGTCGCGTGTATCCACACCTACCGTCCACGAACTTCTCTTCATCGACGACTGCGCTCTCAACGCCATCTCGAAGGGGGCATGCAAAGGCGCATACACCTCTTCGCTTCCGCCTGCGACAACTTCTGCCTGGTCATCAACACGGAGAAAACTATGGTTATGGAGCAACCGCCACCCAAAGCCGCTTGCATTTCACCCCAAATCAACGTGAACAGTGCCCAAATGAAGTCGTAGACCACTTCGCCTACCTGTCAGCACCCTCTCTCGCATCACCAAAATCGACGATGAAGTGGCCCGCCGGATCTCCAAAACCAGCCAAGCCTTCGGCCGTCTTCAAAGCACAGTCTGGAATCGCTACGGACTCCATCTGAACACCAAGCTGAAGATGTATGGGGCAGTCATACTGTCATCGTCGCTGTATGTAGCGGAGACCTGGACGGTCTACAAGAAGCAGGCGCAGAGACTTAACCCCTTTCAGCTCAGCTGTCTTTGACGGAAACTGAAGCTGAGATGGCAGGACCGGATTGCGACCACGGATCTAGTGGATCGGATGGGAATCCTCAGCATCTACGTCATTCCGAGACAGTTGCGACTGCGTTGAAGCGGTCACCTCGTGGGGATGGACAACGAGCGGCTACCCAGACGACTCTTCTATGGAGATGTCGACGCGGATTCGCGCTGGCAAGGAGGCTATGTTCCTCGATGCAAAAGCACTCTGAAGACTTCACTGAAGCGTCTGCAGATCAACCCGGCCAACTGGGGAGACCTCGCACGAGACCGACCGACCTGAAGGAAGACAGTGAAGACAGGCCCAGCGATCTATGAAACCAAGTGCATCACCGCCGGCGAAGATAAACGCGAGGCTTGCAAATTCCAACTGCGCCCACCTCGCAACGCCAACCCTCAACCAACCCCCACCTGCCGACGCTGCCAGTGGATGTTCCGGGCACCAATCTGCCCTGTAGGACATCCTCGTACCAAATGTAGCACCCGGACTACACCAGCTGTTGTCTCCTCGTCCAACTCTGCCTCCTCCTCCACGTCGAACACTAACATTGACCGCACTCCCGAACCCCCACCACCATCCTCCACATCCATTGCCTCAACATCTGTTACGGCGGCCCCTGTACCCACCACCACTGCACCCAATGCTGACACACCAAAAACACCAACCCCCTCTCCCCACACTCAACCCCAGCGATGTGGACTCGATCCATGCCTGTCCTCATTGCGACCGCACCCTCACCTCCCACATCGGCCTGGTCGGTCACTTGCTAATCCATCGTACAGAAACTGGTGAAGCAGTGTCTGGAGGATAAACCTAGACTCGCTGCATTCGTGCCCACTGTCCACACTGCATCTGCACACCTACTCAACGCATGAACCTATTCGATCACATGCGCATTCACAAAAACCTGCGGTAGACAACCGCCGGCTAAACCACACCATCACATCTCCTCTACCTACACCTGCATCACTCAACGTCATCATCCACCACAAGCACTCAATTGCCACATCCCACTCAAGTGGGTAGTGTGCGTATCGTCTCCGTCTCCATTCTGCTTCTTTGCTGCATGTGTGATTCAAGTCTGTGGCTTTTACAGCTCCTAAAGCGCTGTGGCTTGGAAGGCTGACCAAGGTCCCAACTCAGCCCACGCAGTCTGCCCGGTTGTGTGTATACGTGTGGAGTGGCAGACTGGTAAGCTGAGCCAGGCTGAATCTGCTCCTTCTTAGCGTGACCTACGGCACTCTCATGCGTGTGGGAGGTACGCCGCGCAACCCCCACTGTGTAAAATCCTGGTGCTTGTGTTTGGGGGGTCAGGTCATGAATGTGGCGTTCGTAGACAAGGTCACTAGATATGTCAACCACCGCGCCCATTCCCCGCACCTGTCAACCGACTGCCTCGGATAGTGACTGGACCTTGGGAATGGGAAAGGAGAGTGAGGTCGACGACTCAACACATTTTCCTCACTATAAACAATCTGACGCGCTTGAAGCTATCACAATGTGCTAAAAGCCGTGACTTGGAAGGTTGTCAAGTGGCGGGATAACTTGGACCTCGCAGTCAGTCCAGTGTTGTGTGTTTGTGTGAAGCGGCCCGCTGATGGTCTAAGAGTCAGGCTTCAATGGCTCCTTTGTGGTCTTTATGGCACTCCCACTCCGTGGGATTCGAGCCAGGTGTGACGGTACGCCCAAGTGCGGCCCCAGCCGTGCCAGCTCCACTTATACTGCTAATCAAAAACTTGGTCATTTGCGATGTGGACCAGGGGGTGTGGAGCGGAACGCTAAAGTGCGGGCTGGACCGTGCCATCCACCTGCGCCCATCCCCCACCGCCTCCGGTCTTCTTGATTCTATCTTAACACCGCATCCAGGTGGAAAGTGGAGAAGAGAGCTTGCGGTTGGTGCTGTGAAAGTCTGCATTCACTGCAAACTAATTTACGCACAAGTCACCGACCCTGCTCCATGCCCCATGCGCCGTGGGTTTCGACTTATCTCTTGTCGTACACCAGCATGTCGTCATTCTGTACTGCCATTCCTGGCGCACTATTTTACGTGCGAGGAGGCCCAAAAACAGAAACGAAGACTCGAACTGCCCGCGGATGGGTCGTCCCTTTTTGTGTAAACTTTTTGACTTTTGAGTAATTTATGAACTTATTTTCTGCACACAGTGAATGAATTCCACTTTTTTGTTAAAGACTTTTAAATTGTAATTTGAAAATAAAACGAATTCCTCTCTCTCTCTTGTTGTGGAACACTCGGTGGACATCGTTGGCTACGACGAATGAACTGTTCCCCCAGCTTAGCAAAACAAAGTAGTTATATGCGATCCAGAAGAAATCGTCAAATCTTTAAGACAGTGCAGTTTGCTACGTCCACCTAGATGCGAATTTCTCGAAATTACGCAATGTTCGGTTCTGAATGCAAATTAAAGACGGGGATTTTCCTTGTATGTTAAGATCGCTAAGGCACTTGACCTGAAACTTAACCGAGAATGGCTCTGTTCCCGTAGAAAGAGTGCAAGCGACTTGTTCTTTCTCTTTTCCAATGGACTCGTCCTTCTACTTTTTCCGATCTAATGTCCATGCTCCTGTTACGCCTTGATACTCTGCTTGACTGCATTCATACTGTTCATATTTTTTCTTACACCACTGATTTTTCACTTTCCTACTATTGCTCTAGCCTAACAACCGTTACAGGATCCCTTGTTAATTCATTTTTTCTTCCATTTTTTCCTATTTTTCTTCCCTATTCTTTTTATTTGTCCTCACCCCATTATCCTTGCTAACTGTTTTTACTCTTGGTTTGCTGATCCACTCTCCGTTTAATTATATTTTTCTATTATTTGTCCTGCCTCATATTTTCTTCTTCCATGCCTCTCAATGTATGCCAACCAATTTTGCTCCTGGCTGCTGCTGGGGCTAGCATTAGCTCTCCTATTCCTCTCCATTTGGCCACCACAAACACCGGGATGACATGGGCTTACACAAAGTCTCTTTATATATAATTACAACCTTAACCAGAGCTAATCTGATCGTTTGCTCCTCAGCACGATATTATATACTTCCTGTTCTTACTGCAATGCTCCACCTAGTCGATGGAAGCCGATGTGGAAGTAAACACTGGACTGCAAATACCAAGCAGGAGTAAACGAAAACATCTAGAGTTTCTTATTTGCCACAAAGCCCAACGGCATTCAATGGCCCTCTAACGGGGAAAAATGCTGTTGAAAAAACCAGTATACTGAACAAGAATATTTGACGAATTGTTAAGTTATTTTTAGGAGACAGTCACACATTAATATGCCTAATTATCTCAACAAATCCTTTTCAATAAGTTAAATGAAGGTAATGAACATGGAGCGGAATGAACATCCAAATTGAAGAAAGCATCAGCCGTTTGATTATTGGGCTCATGAGATTAAGTTCCGGTATTAATAGGGGACCGGTCACATCGAATGGCAATACTAGCACTAGATATAAATACTATTAGCCAAAACGAAGTTTCTACTTGAATTGGGTAATATTCGAATGCGTAAACTACAAAACAAAGTAGCCCATCATATCTAATGTACTAGCTTCGGTTTCATCTGTGGAGGCAGGTCAGTTTGGCATGGCCACATTGCCGTCTAACCTATTAATTTTCTTTGTAAAAATGTCTGGTTTTAGCTAATAGAGGGAAGATAAGCATAAGAAAAGGAATTCTCCCATTATCACGCCATCATCTTCAGCAGGACCAAGTTTGATGAGCGTATACTTGCGGTTAATTAGCTCGTCTTAAAAGCGTGTCGAATGACTCATTAGAGGTTGTTTTGCGATAGGGGATTCGGCTCATAAAGTGAACAGCGGCACAGCTTAGCAGCAATAACGTGTAATGACGTATTGTCAAACAAAATTCCAATGGCGTTGTTGGCAGATTGGAATAATTGGTCGGAGCTAACTGAATAAGCATCGTGCGTCTTGACGAAAATTTGAACTATTACAGCAAGGATAAGGCTTGAGTACAGACAACGCTCCAAGCATTTGCGTTACAGGAGCCCGACCAGTAGCCATGATTTTAACTATGCTTGGAGCAAGTTACTGGCAAAATTTACTGCAACGCTTGGGATATACCGATTGCGATACGGTAAGGTGACCGAGCAAACATTATTTCCTAAGTATTCAATCTTCAATCCACCAGATGACTACTAGGCTCACCTAACTTTTACTGTTTTTGGTACATTTTAATAGGTCCACGAAACCATTTGGTTTGACGAAACAATATATCATCCGGAAGACGCGTCTCTTGTGGATAAGACGAGTAACAGCCGAGGGTTCTGTTAACTTCAAAAAATTGTTTTTATGAGGAGGGCATCCAGAGTGACCCCTTTAAATAACAGGAAAGCTTTCTTTAAGTCCTTTGATTCTTTTTGTCCTTTGATGCTGCGCTTTAACTTAGATCGTCGGACTTAAAAATCCTTCTCTACTCGGTCGTAAAAGATTACACTTTACAAGTCCTGTCATTTGCATGGGCAAAAAGAGATAATTTGTCACCAATGTGTATTTGCCCGCACACTTCAAAAAGGCAGCACATTTCGGCCCTTTTCCTTATCTAAAATTAGTGAAGGAGAACTTTTCTAAAATTTGCATAAAAAGCATCTGCAAATTAATCCTGCTTTACTTTAAATCCTAGTGGGCTTTTCAAACAAGATAGTTTCTAGTTGTTAAATACT